AAAAAAAAAAAAAAAAAAAAAAAAAAAGAAACGGAGAAGAATTGAAAATCCACTTGGCTCATTGGATTCAAGAACAATACTTCTTGTTGACGCTTTCAATATATAAGAATTCCAAGTTAGAAATGTATAATTTTGATTAAATCTTGAAATTATTAGGAAATCGAAAAAATTCGGCAATAAATAACCTAATATCATATTCTTTAGTTATTTTTCCTTTTAATTTCAATAATTTTATATATATATATATATATATATATATAAATTTCAATGTTTCAAATCAATTGTATTCGATTATTTGTCCGCTTATGCTTATAGTCGAGCGAGAATCAAGATTCTGCGCAATACGTAACTATCGAAATCTCACTCGAACTTACCCGAATTTCTCCGATCCGTCCCGAATTACGTTTTCGAATCCCCGTAAATCTCTAGCGTCTAGCGAATAAATATCTACTATAAGAAGCTTCAAAATTGTTTCAGAACTTAGTCAAATAATTTATGTTTTGCGAAAGAATACACTACTACAAATAATAGCTGCACTTTCTTGTCTCGAAGTGTTGCCAGAATTGTATATGTGCTTTTTGCTGGCAAATGATCTCGCCCATCAACATAATGAAAATGAAAAATGAAATCTAGTCAAGAATTCAACGACTAGTATTTAAAGAACAGATGCGTGATTGTGACGTGTAAAATATATTTTTGAAAAATATTCGCTATTATAATTTTTTAGCTTTAGTAGCTCTGCGACAATCAATTTATCAATCAATATATTACAACACGTGTCATGAACATTGGTCTCAGATGTAAAAATTCGATTAAAATTTTAATCAACGTAAAAATAATATTTAATACTTATTAAATAATTTTGACAAATGATTCATGATCAAATCGATCAATTAAAAATTGATTACTATTTATAAAATATTGTTTCTATTATTGATATTAATAAAATGAGTGATATATTTTATAAACTTTTTTTTCAATAAATAATTATAACAAGTATTATTTTTTAAATTATTCTTTTTTATCGAAAAATTTTTTTTATCTTAAATGCGAATAAAATGAATAATAAAAGAATTAAGTAGCGAAATAAATAATAGAAGAAGAAGACAAAAATAACAAGGGTTAAAATCTGACAAAATCTAAAAAATTTTAAAAATTTTGCTATAGAAAATTAATTAAAAATCGATGAGGTGAATCAATGTTATCAGATCACAGATACACAAAACATTATCACGTGCATATTTTATTAAATCGAAATGGAGAAGAAATATGTATACTTTTTGATTTGTCCTAAGTGAGCGATATACAAGTTGTAGCGATCCGGACGATAATCGAAATTCGAAAACATCATTGTAACATTCACACTATTGATGATCGCAAAAAAGAAGACGGAATCAAAATTAATTAGAACAATGCGAAAACAATGGCCTCGAACAACAGACTGTTTGATGCAAAGGCAACAAGATAAATCTCTGGCCGAAGGCCATAATATTAGAGAGTAATTGTAAACTAGTTCGCAATTCTTTCCGCTAAATATTGTATAATTATCTTACATTCAAAGCGTCTCGAGGAAGATCGAAACTGTCACTGGTTGGCCTCGACGCGCTTTATTTTCTAACGAACTAAAACTCAAAAAGATTAAATTTCGAAACGATTCGTGCGCGGTGGTTCGCGCATGTGCAACACGTGCCTATGTTCAAGAATACGAAAATAGGACGATAATAAAACATGTACAGTACAATATTTAATCATTATATGTTTCTCACGGTATCCACATATACTCGTATCCATTGAGAGGGAACCTAATGAAACGAGTAATTTCACGTGTTTCACACGGCATTTAATAACAATGCAAAATAAATTTCTTTAAATATTAGGTTTTCGGTCCTGCTTCGTCTTTTGTCAACTATCATTCTTTATTATCGTTCTTTATTATCGACAGGGATAAAAAGGGATTGAAATTTTATGTCCTTAACTATATATAGTTATACTTACGGCTGATCCTGAGGTTAAGTTAGGTTAGGATGAGGTTAACTGTGAAGTTAAACGAATAAATATTTCTATGTACTTGATGATATCGAAAGTAAATGGAATAGATGGTAGAAATATGAGAGAAAGTGAAATATAAAATATCATGCTTTTGATCTATATATATATATATAAATAACAGTATGACAAATATATTATTATATATATATATA